AACACACACACACACACACACACACACACACACACACACACACACATGCACATGCACATGTACACAATGTGCACACAACATGCACACCAAACAAACGCAAAAGTACGCCAAACAACACAACACAACACAGACCTGGTCGAGCATTGCGTTTGCAAAGATGCTGGAGACGTCGATGCTGACGTAGCTCTCGAGGGAGCGATAGGCCGCCATGTACGACTGAAATGCATGCAGGCAATCGGCGAAGGTGGAAGGAGGAAGGACAGGAGAAGGCGTGAGCTTGCATGGCGACGGAACACCCACGTCGCAAAGCATCGGCTGTGTGTGTGTGCGTATGTGTGTGTGCGTGTGCGTGCGTATGTGATGTGTGTGCATGCGCATGTGTGCCTGACCTTGACTGCACTGAGGCAGACGGAGGGCCGCTGGGGAACGCCATCTGGGGCGTTCATGGTGACAAGATGGCTCAATGCATTCGGGACCGTCGACGACAGGTTCTTCACAAGATACTCTGCAGTGGCGGAGGGCAGGGCAGAGGTGGAAAGGTCCAAGGCAAGGTAAGTGAGCGAACATCGTCTAGTTCGAAGGAGGAGGAGGAGAGCAATGAGCAACGAGGAAGAGAGTGGGTGTGTTGTGTCGTCTCATGTGCGCCTGGGTTGCTTGGTGTACCTCTCGGGGAGAAGCAGATGTTGAAGACGTTGACGGTGACGTGGTGGTTGAGTGCCCAGCACAGGTCTGCCAGCGTCGCCTGCAGGTTCTCCAGTCTGCACACATCCGCAACACCAGCAATGGCAGTTTGCAGTTGAGTTGAGTTGAGTTGAGTTGAGTTGAGTTGAGTGGGTGAGTGTATGCGTGCGTGCGTGCGTGCGTGAGTGAGTGAGTGAGTGCGCGCGCGTGGAAGGTGAAGAGGTGTGGAGAGCAACCGACTTTTTCGTTGTCTCTGGGTCACGATCTGCGTCCTTGCTGACGGGCGCCTTCCCTTTCTTCGTGCGGGCAACCATCACCGTCACCGCTTTTGATGGCAGCAGCTGGACAACACACACCGCAAAGCAGAAGCAAGAAGTTGGGGGGGGGGGAGGAAGGTCAATGCAGGAATGAGTTTAAATGCTGCAAGGATGTTGAGTGGATGTTGTTCGTCCAATGGTGACTTGAATCGTGTGTGGAAAGGCTGACAGGCAGACAGACAGACAGACGGACGGACACAGACAGAGACACACGCACGCACACACACACACACACACACACACACACACACACACACACACACACACACACACACACACACACACACACACACACACACACACACACACACACACACACACAAACACATGTGCACACACCTCTGCGCCGAGGGCGACGTGGGCCATTGCCATCTCGTGGACGGCGAGCGTGGTGTTGTAGGCGATGCGGGCGAGGAAGTTGGCTGCCATCTCCGCAGCGCCGCGCCCAATCTGCATGCGCTGGGGATGACGACAAAGTAGAATGAAGTTGGATGAACGCAGTGCAGGCAGCGATGTGTGTATGTGTGTGAGAGTGTGAGAGTGAGAGTGAGCGAGAGTGTATGCAAGGGTGCAAGGCACGGATGATGTTTCGGCAATTCATGCGAGCACAGGATTGAGAAAAAGAAGAACACTGTCCCATGACACGCAGTTTCCCTCTGTACACACACACACACACACACACACACACACACACACAAGCATGTGTACGTAGTCATACCTCGTCTGGGAAGAAGGGCGTTGCGTTGAAGGAGAACGAGTCGCAGAGCATGACAAAAGCGAGCGAGAAGCGCTGGTGCGCGGGGGAGTTGACGCACGTGTCAAACATCTTGGTGAGGGTCGTGCGGTAGAACCACATGTTGGCCGGCATGGACGTCTCCCGCACAAACGTGTCTGCGTTGTCGAGGAGGTATGAGTTAAACTCGGCGAGGTTGAGGTACGAGGCAAACAGCTCGTTCTGGTGCAGCGGGAAGGGCACGTTGGCGGCGCACATGCTGGCCTGCAGCCGTAGCCAATCCAGGCGGAACCCCGCGAACGACGCGCCCTCGCCTGGCAGCAGTTGAGAGGGGGTGACGGTGGTTTAGGTGGTTTAGGTGGTGGTGGTGTTGTGAGGGGCGGGGAAGAGGTGGTGTGAGGGGCAGAAAGACGTGTTGACGTCAATTGTTTTTTTACTCAGCACAACCAAGGTGTGTGTGTGTTGTGTGCGTGTGCGTGTTTGAAGGCGTAACATGACGTGCGTATGCGTGCGTGCGTGCGTGTGTACGGACCGGAAGCGAGGGCCTCCAGCGTCTGTGCAAATCCGTTGAGGATCTTGTGCTCGTGTTCAGAGAGATGCAGCGCCTGCCACATCACGCGTGCAATGCAGAGCACATTGGTGAGGGCAACGACACATCCGAAAAAAAAAAAACAACCAACAACAAATAAACAAACAAACAAAAGACACTGACACAGGGAAGAGCAGCAATGCACACGTGCCCACCAGTAGCACAGCCAACAACGCACCCCTATTGTCTCTCGGATGACGGTGAGGTTGTGGCCCGTGAGAAAGTCCTTGAAATAGCGCGAGATGATCGCCCGCTGTCCCTTCAACAGATCTGATGCACAAACAACAGCAACGTGAGCACAGCGCACTGCAAGGCCTCAATAGATGTGAGTGGAGGGTCGAGCATTCGTGGGGGGTCGTGTTGTGCTGAGGAAATGGCAACAGCATGGGCTGAATGACTGTTGGGGTGGGACGCACAGTTGAATTCAGTGATGTAGAACAGGAGTTCAGAGAGATCCCTGGTGTAACAGATGAGAAAAGAGAACAGGGGAACGAGCATGGCATGGCATGGGGTGAGTGAATGAGAAACGCGCCGACAACTGGAGTGTGGATCAAACAAGCGAGCAAGCAAGCCGTGACGCAACGCACCCACCCACGCACCCACCCACGCACCCACCCACGCACACACGCACACACGCACACACCCACAGAGCGCGCTCGGCGTCAGAAACGTACTTGTCTTGGAAGACCTTTGGGTTGACCTTTGCCTTTGCCTTTGGTGGCTGCGCGTGTGCGTGGCGCATTAGCCAGTTCACCTCGTCCCGCGCCATGACCAGCCCACGCAGCACAACAGGCATCTACAACCGCACACACGAACATTGTGTGGTGTGGATGAGACACGAAGAAGACAATAAACGTAATCAGCGGCAAACAAGACCCCAAACTGATCAAACTAACATGGCACCACCACCATCACCACCACCACCACCACCGCCAAGAGACTGCACCTTTGGCCCGAGCAGGCCCGGCTTGTCCTGGACGAGGGCGAGGAGCTGGGCGAGGCTGTGCCGAAGATATGTGCGGCGGTCGCGGTGCAGCGTCGGCGCCTCTGTGATGGCGGCCGCCAGCTGCTCAGCAACCTGCGCCTAAACACACACACACACACACACAGTTGTGAGGGACAGGTAGGCATATCGGCGAGTGTGCTGTTACAGAACCTGTGCGTGTGTGTGTGCGTGTGCGTGTGCGTGTGTGCGGATACCTTCTGCTTTGACATCTTCTTTGCGTCTGCGAGGGAGGCGAGGGTTGTGTCCAGGAGGGTGTGCGGGTATGCGACCTCGGTGCGATAGAGCTGCAGCACAAAGCCGTCCCCGAGACACCGCAGCATCGTCATCATCGACTCGTCCTCCGCCAGCGCATTCGGAATCTGGCGCGCGTGGTGGTGGTGGTGGTGGTGTTGTTGTTGTTGTTGTTGTTGTTGTTGTTGTTGTTGTTGTTGTTGTTGTTGTTGTTGTTGCATGCGTGAGGTGTGTGTGTGTGTGTGTGTGTGTGTGTGAGTGAGGTGTGCGTGCGTGTGTGTGTGTGAAGAAACATGAGTGAGTGACGAGGTGTACAGAGGGTTCGAGTGATAAAGTAGGCAGTGCGCAAGCGGCCCACAAGTCGGGCTGGCTGCATGACATGCGCAGTTGGAGAGCGGGGACGCAGCTTACGAGAAGATAGCCGAAGACGAGCCAGTGGATCATGCGATCGGTCGATGTCGTGAACGGCAGCACGTCGTACATGTGCTCGGGCTCAGTCATCTACACGTACACGCACACGCACACACAGGCACACACGCACAGGCACACACGCACACACAGGCACACACGCACAGGCACACACACACACACACACACACACACACACACACACACACGTCGACACGCATCGTGAGCAACGGCGAGCACTGGTGTTAATCACAGCAGGAACCGTCCACCCTCGACAAAAGCGCGAGCGCCCATCCTTCAAACCCAACACCCACCCACCCACACAGGCACGTACACGGACACACATACATTGACACACACACAGAGACACACCCACACACGCACCCACACCCACACCCACACACCCACCAACACCCCCCCCCCCGCCACACCCACACACGCACACGAGCAAGAGGGTTGTTTGGGGCACCTTTGCTGGGTTGTTTGCGATGTTGAGGAGGTGCGCCTTCCTGAACTCGTCCGCCGTCTGGTACATGGTGTCCAGGTGCGCCCGCACAGACATCAGCGGCGTCAGAATCATCTGCACAGCGCACGACAAGCGGAGGAGGGACGGGTTGAAGGTGAGATGGCGAGTTGCGAAGGTCATCGTCATGATGGTTGTGCAAGTTGAAGTGTCGTTGAATACTTGTGTTCAGTAGAATGGGTGTGTGACGGTGAGCACGCAGGCACACAGACACACAGGCACACAGGCACACAGACACACACCGGGCAGCTTGCTTACGTTGATGTGGGGCTTGAAGGGAGCGTACATGACGCGGGCAGGCGTGTCGTAGTCCAGCAGCAGCTGCGACAGGCGCGGATACGCCGGCTCCCTGCACACGCGCACACATTAACACCAACACAGACAGACAGACAGACAGACAGACAGATACACCCACACACACCCACACACACACACAAAAATGCACGCATGCACGGAGACGCATGCACATGATTGCACGGGGCGGGATGATGAGTAGTGAGCCCACGAGCGCACTGGCACGAGTGAAATGACAGGAACCTTGGAAGCCAGCATGGGCGTCAACATGCGCCCACATAGAAGCAGGCAAGCGCAAAGACACAAGCCCGTCTTTCCCCTCTGCACATATGCAAACACACACACACACACACAAAAAAATACGTACATGTTTCCCTTGAACATGCTGTATGTAGCGTTGAAGACCATTGCAATCATGCGGCGGGAGTCGAGGCGGAAGAGGAGCAGAATGACGGCCACATATGTGTGCAGCAGATCCAGAAACAGCGCCGTCAGCCGGTAGTTGAGGTTCTGCACAGACCGCACACACACACACACACACCGCCGAGACAAAAGGAGCAGAGATGAGCAGATGAGAAGAACTATGTATGTATGTGTGTATGTATGTGTGTGTGTCAGTAAAGGCAGGCAAGGTCGGCACAAAACAAACAGCCGGCTGGAAGACATGCTCAAACAATCCCACGTGTTCACAATTCGTGCTTGCAAGCAGTGCAAGAAGGCGGCCACACGTACCAGCTGCAGCCGCATCTGGCATGCGCTCATTGACGCAACAACTTCCTTCACCCGATCCTGAGAGCAGCAGAAACAGCAGAAACAGCAGCAGACACAAGACATGATGGGGCGGGGTTGTGAGCACTAGGGCGTCAAGAACATGCAGCCCAATAGATCAAGCACAATCGAACATGTGCGCGCGCATTTTGAAGGGCAGCCCGCAGACCTGGAAGTCCATGGCGTCGACGAGGTTGTAGTAGTGGGGTTGCAGGGTGTTCATCAGCTCCTCCCTGCGTGCGGAGGTGAAGCTGTCCCGTTCCTGCGAGTTTACAAGCAGTGAACCAACGCAACGTTACCCGTATCGGAGCGTTGAGACACAGGCAGGGGGGATTGGAGTAGCAGACACAATAGCGGTGGTGCATTCAGCAGTTGTGTCTTCAACTTTGTTGCGTTCAACACTGGTGCACTCGCTAGTAGCTACAGACAAACGCAGACAGACAGATAGGCACGCCCACACGTCCACATCCACATCCACATCCACACACACACACACACACAGCCACACACACACACAGCCACACGAAACAAGGAACCTTGAGGCTGTCGACGTTGGGGAATTTCTTGAGGGCTGCCTTGACCTGGCTTTCAAAGGTCTTCTCAATGAGCACCGAGGGTGGTTGCTCATGTTGGAGCAGCTGACAATGGCAGGTGAGGCGTAGTGAGATTCGACGTCAATACGCGTGCATGTGTATGTGTACGTGAGCGTTATTATGCGCGCACATGCGCGTGGCCATATCACACAGTGACATGAAACGGCACAAACACAGCGCACACAGGCACACAGGCGCACACACACACACATTCCGCAGGACTCACGCGCTTGGTGTGGTAGAGCTTGCACAAGATGCCCTTGCCATGGTCGTTGAGGATCGTGAGCTTCTCAGCAAACTTGTTCCTCAGCATGGCCATGCCGTTCTCTGCCATGGTCGGTGTGGGTTGAGCGAACAGCGCAAGGACGACAGCAGCAGTGTGAGGTTGAGGGGTGTGTGCTGCTGATTCGAGCTGCTGAGCTGCTGAGCTGGGGCGGTGTTTGTGTTGTTGTCGGTCGTGCTGATTTGGTGTGCAGTTGTGAGGATTCGTTGAAATCTTTGGTTAACATTCGCCTATGCACGAATCTACGGCAGGGCATCTCACTACGCGACATGATGTCGAATGGTGTATTTCTGGCTTTCGCAATTTTCGATCAGCCAGGACCTTGAGCTGGAAGTACCTGTGTGGTCTTGGTTTGTGGTACCGGGTACCTCGTGCCTTTTTCCTTTTGCTCTGATCCCACGCGCCGACGACGACCATGGAGGTGAGCTTTGTGTGCGTGTGTGTGTGTGTGAGTGTGTGTGCATGTGGACTGCTGCTGTGTGTGGTGGTCGAGTGCACGCAGCTTGCGCAGCATGTCGTCGCAACGTGGACGGCTGCGGATGGTTGCTGAGGGTCGATGGCAGATGGATGGCCGCTTGAGGGCAGAAGGTGGATGGATGGTTGGTTGGCTGATGGGCGGAGTTAGGATGGGCTGAGGGGATTCGATGGCGGGAGGCAGGCACGCGCTGTGTGTAAACTGCGTTGGCAGCATCAGCACACAGCACACACCACCAGCAGCAAGCGCCAGCACACAGCATCTGGACAGCAGCAGCAGCGGCAGCAGCACCAGGTCAATGCTGGCACCTGACAGATGCAAGGGGGGGGGCGAAGACAGGCGTGCTTCGAGGACACCCACTGCTGCCAGCACCGCGACAGCAGTGCAGACCACACCGACCACGCACACACATGCACACACATGCACACACATGCACACACATTCACATACACGCAACACCACAAGCACACACATGCATACACACACATGCACACACACACACTGACACGGAACGCGTGTGTGCGCCCTTTTGTTTGATTGGCTGTGTGGGATGTGCAGGGCAAGCAGTTTGTGCAAGTCTTTGGCCGCAAGAAGAACGCCACGGCTGTGGCGCTCTGCCGCCAGGGTAAGGGTCTCCTCAAGGTGAACGGTTCCCCCCTCAGCCTCGTCCAGCCCCAGCTCCTCCGCGAGAAGGTGAGCGTGTGCGTATGTGTGCTGTTGTCTTGTGCCGCTGTTTGCACGTTAATTCGTGCAATTGCCACACACACACATGGATGCCGGTCCTGCGTTGCATTGGTTCTGACACTGGCGTGCGTATGTGATGTGGTGTGTTGTGTTGTTGTTGCTGTTGCTGTTGCGGGTTACAGATTATGGAGCCCATCCAGCTTCTTGGCAAGGACAAGTTCGCCGAGGTTGACATCCGCGTGCGCGTCAAGGGTGGTGGTCACGTCGCCCAGGTGTACGGTGCGTTTTATCTTTGCTTGTCAGCAACTGCTCCTTGCATTCATGTCCTCTGCGTCCAAGTTGTTGGCTGCGATGGTGTGTATTTGGGTTGTTCAAATGAGTTGGTGTTGCGACACTGTTGCGACGCTTGCACGAGCTTGTTGCCTGTCCAGAGGATGCTAGTGGTGGCCAACTTTTTTGCTCATCCACCTCGCTTCTCTTTCCCCACTTGCTTTCTTGTTGTTTGCACACTTCTTTGCTCTCTGAAACTTCTCCCCACAGCCATCCGTCAGGCCATCTCCAAGGCCCTTGTCGCCTACTACCAGAAGTGTGAGTGTGCTTGGTGGCACGGAAGCGTGTGTGTGTGTGTGTCAGCGATGCAGGATGTGTCGTGTTGCGATCATTGATTATTGTGCTAGCTGAGGTTTGCTGTCGATTGGATCGCCACGTTGTGTTGTCGCCCTCGCTGCCATAGTTGCCCATTCTTGTGGCTCATTTGTTTACTGATTCCAAACCACCCGCCCTTTTCTTGCCTCGTGTGTTGTCATTGCTGTGCAGTCGTCGATGAGTCGTCCAAGAAGGTGATCAAGGACATTCTTGTTCAGTACGACCGTACCCTCCTCGTCGCCGATCCCAGGTCTGTCTCCCTCTTTGTGTTGTTGTTGTACAAGTTGTTGTTGTTTAAGTTGTTGTTGTTAAGTTGTTTAAGTTGTTGTTGTTAAGTTGTTTAAGTTGTTGTTGTTTAAGTTGTTGTTGTTGTTGTTGTTGTTGTTGTTGTTGTTGTTGTTTAAGTTGTTGTAATAAAGTTGTTGCTTGTGCTGGTTGTCTGTGCTGCCGTTCGCGTGTTTGCTGCCATTTGTGTATCTTGTTGTGTGTTCGCGGAACACTCACGTGCGTCCGGTTGCCCCCCCCCCTCCTCCTTCTCCCTCAACCCCTCGTTTCCATCCTTGCCCAGGCGGATGGAGCCCAAGAAGTTTGGCGGTCCTGGCGCTCGCGCTCGCTTCCAGAAGTCTTACAGATGAACGAGCTGTTGTGCTCGCCCTGGTGTGGTGGTGCTCCTCCTGATCGTTCCTTTGTCTGTGTGTGCGTTGTTCCTGTTCGCCTGCGACGGGAGGCACATTCCATGTTCCAGGGGGTATGTGACATGAGTGAGTGTGGGGCAATAACCGAGCACCCATCGTCTCATTAAAATCACAAACGCAAAACATGGACCAAGCCAGCCAGCGCGCGCGCGCGCGCGCGCGCGTGTGTGTGTGTGTGTGTGTGTGTGTGTGTGTGTGTGTGTGTGTGTGTGTGTGTGTGTGTGTGTGTGTGTGTGTGTGTGTGTGTGTGCGGGGACGCAGATGAAGGACGTTTGGAACGAACAGAAAGAGGGCGCTCTGTGATGCACGAAATTTGGTGCTGTCACATGACACTCAATGGCATGACCTTCCTTCCTCCCACGCACATGTCATGTCACACGTCCTGCGTGTGTTCCTCCGCCTCTCTCGTTCTCAGTGTCCCTCTCCCCTCCCCCACACCCATGATTAATTTCTCTGCAAGGTGACATGCTGTTGCGTTTGCCAAGTGCCTGTGTATTGTCCGTGTACGTCGTAGGGACTCTTAAAACACAAAAGAGGAAAGAAGAGCTCCATACACACGGCCGAACAACACACAACAACGCTTTGCGCGGTGGTGGTAAGGAAGAGTACTCAAGATGAGCGACACACACAGAAGCACGATTGCGTTGGGCTGCGTAGAAGCAAGTGTCATCATGTGCCGAGCAAGCACGTGGTACTACACGACACGCCAGTGCCACACGATGACAACGACAGCATCGACGACAGCACAAACAACGACACGTGCGACTGCTGAACAGCAAGCTGTTTAGTCGAACAGGGAGAAGCCGTCCATGTCGTCATCGGACTCCTCCTCGGGCTCGGGCTCCTTCTCCTCAGCCTTCTCCTCTGCGGCGGCATCGCCAGCAGGGGCGCTGCTGCCAGCAACGACGGCACCGCCGCTGGGGACAGAGGCGAGCTTCTCGCGGCCGTCGGCAATGACCTGTTAAAAACGAACAGAGAGGGGGAAGAGACAATACACACACACAAATGACACGTGCAGAGTAGAGGTGAGATGAGACGCGTGGAAAAAGGCCAGCAAGTGGGTGAGAGATTCAGGGGATGAGTGTCACAATGATGGTTGCAGTGGCATGTCGAGACAGCAACGGGGGAGGCTCAAGGTGTACATGAACGACCAACACCAAGGGGAGAAGAACAAAGCAGCAATAACAAGAAAGACGGAAAGAAAGGCAGACAAAGACAGTGATCATCATGCCATGTTCTCCACCACACACACACACACACACACACACACACACACACAAAACGAAAATCCATGCAGTGATGCACACGGCAACCCTCCGAAACCAAAATCACTGGCCGCATCAGCAGCTGCACACACATACAACGACTACCACACACACACACACACACACGCATGCGTACCTCCTCGATGACCTTGCCCTTGAGCTCGGAGATGACGGTGTTGAGCTGGTCGTCGTCGCAGGACGCACCAACGGCATCAAGGATCTTCTTGATGTCCGCGGCGGAGGGAGCCTCGTTGCCACCGAGAGCGGCAAGAAGGTAAGCAGCAACGTAGCGCATTTTTAAGTGCTAAGGGAGGAAAGGGAAAAGGGAGTGTGGGTTTGGTAGGGGAAGGTCTTGGCACCGCTTCTACGTATGGGTCTGCTTACGCAGGGGTTCTTGAGGCGACTGGGCGGGGGGGTGGTTGTTTCTTGGGTTGTGCACAGCAGAAAAAGGCACTCACCACGCGCGCGTGCGCGAGAACAAGCACAAGAAGGCCACAAAGCACAAGAGAAGAAAGAAGAGGCACACAAGGCGTAACACGGGCGAAAGGGAAAATCTGCAATAACTTCCATGAACGATTATTGGGCATGTTGGTAGACCTAAAAAAAATTAACACCGCATCAAATTATTCAGTGAGTCAGAGAAAATTATTGTAAGGTGTGATGGTGTGATTGTGTGTGTGTGTGTGTGTGTGTGTGTGTGTGTGTGTGTGTGTGTGTGTGTGTGTGTGTGTGTGTGTGTGTGTGTGTGT